GGTCTGCGTACATACTACCCTCCCCAGACCCCACTAAGTGGGATTATACTGGGTTGTTGTTGTACCATGTTAAAGATCAGTAACTCTTCTCATTTATGTTTCCTACATTATTGTTTAATGTAATGAAAATCATCATCATCCTCTTATATAATGTGGTTTAATCAATGTTATAGCTAAATCTTGTACTTGTTTTGTTTGGTTACTTATATCTTCTATCTTAGATTTAAGATAAATTATCTTTGACTAGAATTTACCTAAAACCTTCTTATTTAATTGGTTCAACAAGAAGTCTAAATCTTTCTGGGTAAAACAATTGAACTAATCTAAATTCCAGCTTTTGGACTATTACACAAACATCGAAATGGAACAGGAAACAGACATCAGTAAATGAAGAGAAGAAATCGAGAAAATAATCAAAAAGTGCTTGTGATATGTTGTAGAATGAAGTACGGTAAAACCAATGGATTTTTTAGGAAAAAATAAAATTTTGATAGAACCAAGAAAAATGGATACAGGGAGTAAGTAATTTGATATACAGTTTCCCTCTATGAAAACTGGAACCTGTTCTAAATTAAGAAGACATTCAACATTAAAAGAATTTATATAGAGTGAAATAAAAGAATGTGCAAAAATATTACTCCATCTATCTCATATTATATAGTTATTAAATTAATTTTTTTTCTTTTTTATCCTTAGTAATAATTATCTTTGAAGACTACAAACGCCTCAATTATAAATATTTTTGTTCAAATACCAATAAAAAAAGATTAAACAGTAAGACATAAATAAGAGTAAAGTAATTAAAATTTCGTCCTAATTAATTTTTCTTAAAGGGCGTAATCATGACAGATAATATAAGAGTACTATTATAGTGGAAGATAAAAGAAATAAAACTGAAATATGAATTATACATGATAAACATTTTTTTTCTCAAGCATAAAGTAGTCATTCGGATTTTAAAGGATGTTAATGTAAATTAAGTTTAAAGGTAGGATCTTCCAACGTGATATTTCTTTTTCTAGTTTTTGTATTTTTAGAATTCACGAGATAGCTTCCTTTTCTTAATAAATTAATTATTTAATATTATATTTCTTGATATCAAGATAACGTGTGTCACATATGCATATATAAATTGTTAAACTTTGTTTGGGAAAGAAGGGGAGGAAAAAAAATGAAATGATGAAATATGAGGTTTGGATAAGTGATGAACTTAATTAATACATGGAGGTGAAAATAATAAAACTAAGATGTTTTTGTTCGTTGTTGTTTGTTTTTAAGTGCTTATTGAAGATAATTTGTGAAGTGTTAAAATACTAGGTGCAATTTTTAAACTATAATAGTACTCGTTTACAAGTACTTTCTGTATGAAAGGAAACGAGAAAAATTATATTTGTCTCAATAATAACGAACTTTACGCAGTAGTTTGATACTAATATCTGCTGTAAGGCGATTATTTATACCTATCACGTCCAATATAAAACGATCTACTTATCTTATGAGTTACCTGATTAGAATCAAATAACCAAATTGTCATTTTGTGTCATACATGAATGATGCCTTAATTTAAAGTTAAATAAAAAAAATCCTAAAAGGGTTTTGAGAAAAACTTGATAGTAATAAATAATTTATGCACTCTATGAAATACTACTAAATAAGGGACATAATAAATTACTCTTTCTCCTAGTTCCTCCATTTAGAAGCTCTTGAATAGCACAACCCATTTTGTAATCTAATTCATTTCATTAATTAATGACGATGATTTCTAGACGTTCCGGTTAAGGTAGAAAAGACAGAGTCAAATAGAGTCCAACTATAGACGCGAAAAATAAAATTTCAGGCTTTTTTGCGACTATAATAAATACTCAGCAACATAATTGACGTTGTAACATAAGACAAAATAAAAAATATTTAACTTTCAACCTAGAGGTTGTAAGTTGCAGTTTCCCAAGAGCAAGTTGGGAAATTGTTGGAGCGAGGATGCCGTTATCAGCCCGAATGGCTACTTTGTTCTTTTTCTCAATTCGAATCAATCCGCTCGACACACTCTCTTCCCCAAAACCCTAAACCCCTTCACAGAACTATCTAAGCCCTTCTCCTCCTCCTCCCCCGGGGCCACCACCAATGGCTTTGCCCGATGTCTCTGTGGAACCAGCCATGCGCGTGTTCAACAATCACGTCCGCACACTTGGAGAGAAACTCAAGCGCATAGGTGAAATAGAAGAGTCACTTTCAAAAGGAAAAGACCTAAATAAGATAGCAAAAAAAGCTCTCTCCTCAAAGTCCGCCGTCGTAGGCGCCATCGACGAGCTCGGGAATATTCGGGAATCTCTTACTTACGCTGCCTACGATGAGCTCAAACTCACACTATTAGCAAAAAGTTGTAATAGTGAGAGGGACCGCCTAACATTGGTTCAAGACTTACTTAATTTGTTGTATTTAGGTCATTTGTTCGATGAGAAGTCACTGCAGAGTGACATTACCGAGAAGACAAGGCAGAGGAGAACGCGGGAGAGAAATTATTTTCTTAGCTGCGAATCCACAGATCCGGTTGGAGTGACGGATTTGTATTCAATTTCATTGCTCTGTGGCCATCTTATTTGCCCACCTGCTGCTCACTCTCTTCTGTCGCACAAGGGTGCCCTTGAAAAATGCCATGCAAAGCTTTGGCTTGCTAAGTCCGACGAGCCCATTATGCATGATTCAAATGCTACATGTGAGTATATATCTTATAACGCTATATGAATTCTCTTTAATCCATTTCGTTCTATTTGGGCACTTTTTATTTTACTACTCAATAATTTATAATCCCTAGGTTCCAATTTATGTTTCAATTTATATGACTAGGCACATAGTTTAAGAAAAAATATGTGAACTTGTTTGATAAGACATGTAGTTTAATAAAAAATAAAGTACTTTTTGAATTTGTGGTCCTAAACGTGTCAGAAATGAGTCCAAAGTATTTGTGTGGTTAGAAAATCTTTTCACGGGTAAAATTAGAAATTTAAGCTAGATTATTTCCAAATTTAGAAAGGGGCCATTCTTTCTCGAACAGACCAAAAAGAAAATAGGAATGGAGGGACTATTTTTTTGGAGATTCTCTAAAACTAGATGTATCCAGTTTGCTTGTATCAAAACGAATCATCTGTGTCCATTTTGTTCCATTTGGACATGTTTGAATCTACTAGTTAACAACTTTATGTTTTAGAGAAGGTTAGGGATTGTAAAGCTATTATATATTAAATTTTTGGTGAATTTTAGGTTTGTGTAGTTGCTTTTAATTTAGCTGACTGCTTTTGCCTGCAGATGCTGGGTTGAGATCAAAACTAAACAGTATAATGTCTTCACAATATTTTACTGCGGACCATGAAGATGAGGCAGATGCTCCTGTAGAGAAGGTAAATGCTTACACAACTTTTCTCTGTTGTTTTTGTGTGAATGCTAAGGTTAACACATTATTTGTGATTAACCCTTGTTTGCAATTAATGTATAGTCAATGTAATTGTTGGGGTTATGTTGTGTAGGCCGTAGCAATATTGCTTAGTCAGGTGACATGGCCAATAATTAACTTCTACGCTATGTTAAAGTTGTACTTCATATGCACCGATTTCGCGTCCTCCGTTGTTTCCAAGTGTCCTGATGTTTCTACGGTTTTGTCTGTGTTGATTTTACCTCATGGGAAGTCTTTAAGTTGTAGTTATAAAGCTACCGTTTTATATTTCTTTCCCTTTTTTCAGAAGAGGCGTATGGTTTGAAATTTTGTGCATGTATTCTAAAGCTAGCTTCGCAATATAATGGGATGTGATATGGTAATGTGTAAGGTAGCTTAATTGAAGTATTATGGATGGTAGAGTTATAGGTGTCACATCTTGAATTAGTAGTTTTGTTTAATATACCATCCCAAGAACTTGTTGATTTAGGATGCAATAGTTGAATATGATTGGTGTAGGTAGGAAAATGATTAAGCTTTAGCGTTTTCATTGTCCGTCCTTTTCATTGTAATTAAGAGTTCCCATTGTCATTCATAGGACATCCTTTTTATCACGAAGTTACATGTAAGGTAATGTGCATACTAACCTTACATTAATATTTCTTCTAAATTTTTGGAAGTGGAAAGAGACTAGAACTGAGCGATGGTACTTGTTTTCGTGTATTTCACAAGTACTTTTGCTTCACTTATGTATAGGGCAATCAAAAGATTAACTCGTACCTACTAATTAAAAAAGGACTCCCTTACCTTTGCATTCACGTGTTCATATCCACCTCTTCTTTGTACAATCTTTTTGCTGGAATTCTAATTTGAAAAATAGCTTCTTAGCTGAATTGTGAAGACAACGTCGTTGCTCCTCAAATCGCTGATTTTTGTGTTTGTCTATCTCTGCGCTCAACTTTATTCTTGTTCTATGTATGTGTTGATATGTTAAACTATACTACCTTATCATGTATTTACCCATTGAAACAATCTCTAAAG